AACATAAACTTCTGAATCCCATCTGTCTGCTAGTTTATTCTTTCCCTTTAATCCTACTTTCCGCACAAGGACTCTGTCTCCAATCTCCAGCTTACAGAACCTCACTCTCTGGTCATACTTATTCTTGTTCTTGTCAGATATTCTCCTAGCTTCTTGAGAGGCATGTCTATATGCTGACACCATCCTGTCCTTAAGTTTCTCAACATAACCATGGTGATCTCCTTTCTCGTGTTCCAAGTCCATACCAAAGAATACATCTATGGGAAGCTTAGGATGCCAACCGAACATCAGGTAGTGTGGAGTGTATCCCGTTGCATCATTTCTGGTCGCATTGTAGGCTTGAACAAGTGGAGCAACATGGGATTTCCAGTCTGACTTCTGCTTCTCGTTGAGTGTTGAGAGCATTTTGATGAGTGTTTGGTTGAATCGCTCAGCTGAGCCATTTCCCATCGGGTGGTACGGCGTAGTCCTTGTTTTCTTTATTCCTAGGAGTTTGCAGAGTTCTTGGATTACTTTCGACTCAAAGTTACGTCCCTGGTCGCTGTGTAATTTCTCAGGAAAGCTGTAATGTAGAAAGAAGTTATCAAATAAAGCTTTAGCTGTAGTATGAGCAGTTTGATTTTTACATGGAATGGCTTGAGCGAATCTGGTAAAGTGATCCGTTATGACTAAAATACTCTCGAAGCCTCCTTTGGATTGTTCTAAACTCAGAAAATCTATGCAAACTAACTCCATGGGTCTTGTTGTCACAATCGGTATAAGTTCTGCTGCAGGTCTCACAGGTGTTTTACTACATATACATCTATTACAGGTCTCTATCTTCCTAGTGATGTCGTTCTCTATGCCTGGCCAATAAAATCTCTGTCTGGCTAACCAAAGGGTTTTATCTTTTCCTGGATGTCCGACATCATCATGTATTCCCTGTAATGCGACTGATCGAAAACTCTCTGGGACTACTAACTGATAAGATCTCTTACCATCCTGGAAAGCGGTTTTACAAAGAACTCCATCTACCACTTGCAGCTTCTTCAAAATTCTCATGTACCTCTGAACATCTGGAGATTCTTTCCGTATATTTCCTCCCCTGGGTCGGAAATCGCTTTTCAGGATCTGTAGAACTCTGTTGATGGCTTGATCTCTGGACTGTTCTTCTATCCAGTCATGACTGCTGAGTGTGTCGCTGGGGAAAATCTCCTCATCCGCGGCTTGAGGGGCATCTTCCTTGGAAACACTCTGGCAACATGGTATCTGTACTGAAGCAGCATTACAAAGAGCCTTAACCGTGTCCTTAAAAACCACTGGTTTCCTGGATAGACCATCAGCATCTGCATTTAAGTTTCCACTTCTGTATGAAATCTGGAAGTTATAATTAGTAAGACTGGCTACCCATCTCTGGCTTGTTGCATCAAGCTTGGCCTTGGTGAATATGTAAGTTAGCGGATTGTTGTCCGTGATTACCTCAAACTGATTCCCGTACAGGTAGTCATGTAGCTTATCACATACCGCCCACTTAAGCGCCAAAACTCGAGCTTGTGTGCAGCGTAGTTCTTCTCACTGGGTCTCAGTCCTCTGCTTGCGTACGCAATCACCCTCTTTTGACCTCCTTGCACTTGATACAGGATTGCTCCCAGGCCTTTGGAACTGGCATCCGTATGTAGTATAAAAGGCTTGTTGTATTCTGCATACCCTAAGACAGGTGGTGTTGTCAATTTTTCCTTGATGTCCCGGAAAGCCTTTTCCTCCGTTTCTGTCCAAATCCACGGTACTGGTTTCTCCCAACGTGGGCGCCATTTGTAGCCAGTGGTAGAACATCAGAACTAACAATCTGGTTCAGGTTCAATATTATATTTATTAATGTTGAAATAAGACGTCAAAAACCTGAAATATTACAATTACACACAACATATAGACGACACATAGACAGACATTTAGACAGATAATTAAAACATAATAGACTTTACTTTAGAATAGAGTTCTTACCGGGACACACACAGGAATTACAAATATTACTATCTGTTATTGACTATAGAGTAGAGTACACATCTAACCAATTCAACGGCTAGGCTCAGAGTGCCCGATGTTAGTGCGTGAAAGCGGGAATTTGGTGAATAGGATAAAGTCATGTGACTGTCCGTCTAGTGTCTAAAAATAACAACAACCTCATTCACACAAAGTTTTTCACACCACATTCTCAAATATACGCAGCGCTAGTATAGTAATTAAAGGCATTAAATAATACATAACCCTGGTTACACATGTAAAACAAAATTGTTTTAATTAACCTACCTACCTACGGTGCCGTTGAAAATTGTTTTCTGAAATTAAAAAGACTATTGTCGCCATATTAACTTGTCGAAATATACTTTATGCTGTATATTTAAATCATCTTATTCTACTTCTTGGTTTCTTTAATTAATATTACTTTTGGGTCTTATTGGGTAAAACGACTAATCTTATTTATCTGATCAGAACGAGGCTACTGTCTTTTTCTTCTTCCGGTGTCCAGCAATGGTGAGAATTTAATAATCATGTGAAAGAAATCCGCTGCCATCAATGTAACTATCAAACAAAGAATTCCCTTGAACACCTTTTCTTAAGGAAGAAAACATATAAAAAACTTAAAATCACTTTTTATGTTTAAACACTTAGATTAACAAACATTAGACGTTCGTTTAAAAGGCCATGTTGGTTTGTTTTGGTTTTGGGGAGTCCAGTGTCTCGGACTCAAGACAATCACAAAGTTATACACAATAGGAGAAAACTGGCATTTACATTGGTAAACTCGAGTGAAAGAGACGCTTTCCCGCTCGACTTTGAGCTTTTGAAAAACGATAGGGTGGAGAGAAAATTCGGACTGATCAAATTATTTTTTGCCTCAGTGCAACAAACCAGGTTCTCATGGATACATTTTTAAAACAACTTCAGTTTATTTGACAGAATTTACGTAATTATAATAAATTATTATACTATAGATTAGAAATTTGCATGATTCAGATTTTGTCGTAGTAATGTTGGTTAGAATAATCTGTGTGTCAGGACAAGCCCTCACCACAGTTATGCCCTGTTCACACAGAGAGTTGAATTCAAATGAAACGTAAATTACTGCAAATTAGCTTCGCTTAGCATTCACACAGAGAATATAATGCAAATTATTTTAATTCAAATTAATTTACTGCGCATTAAATTACTTTGCATCAACTCTGTGTGAACGTTAAGCGAAGCTAATTCGAATTAAATTTATGCATAAGGCTAGAGTTAAGTCACAAAACCATGCTGGTGGTTAAATTTAGGTATCTGTGTTATATTTTGTTAAAAAATCCAGTAAAGTATGTTAATCGCTAAATATATACCTGTAGCCGCTATAATTATTATATGAAATGGATGGCTCTGCATACATGACATGATTTACAAATGACGTCATAATAGCCCTACTAAATAGCCTTTTGTAGAAATAAAATTTTAATTTGCATTAGTTTATTTCGCTTTAGCTGTCGTGTGAACGCAATTTAATTTGCATGATTTTAATTCGCATTAGTTTACTTTGCATTAATTTACTGCGAATTAAACTCTCTGTGTGAACAGGGCATTAGAATACCACCTACATACTTGCAATGTAGCAAATAGTTGCAGAAACGCTCTGGAACAAATTTGAAGTATACAAAAAGATTTGCACTTGAAATAACTTCAAAATTATAACAAAAAACCTTTTTGAGGTTGCGTATGTCTTTAAACCTAACTTATAATCCAAATAAAGATGATAATTCTTCAAATTTTCTCAACTATTTTTTCTCGCTTCAAATTTACACACCATGTTTGCAAACGAAACTCTCTGGAATTTTCGGAGTAAATGCACTGTGTTCGAGTTATCGCCCATGTTTATTTTGCTACATAGTGAATACATGGAATGCTTTTGTTAAACCGGGTCCGTAGGACATTAATCAATTTAATGATAGAACATTCTATCAGTATAGTGATGTCATTAATAATACACAGGGTTGTTCATAAGAATTCAAGTACTTAGGGATTCTATAAAGTAGAAGAGGTTCTTAGCTTGTCAAGTGCTGTAATGGAGGTTGAAATGACTTTGCCAGAAAATCCGGGGAATAATGTTATTACATTTTTGAGAACACAAAGACCAATCAGAGGGAGACACAGAATATTATTTATAAGGTAAAATAGAATGTTCTGTCATTAAAATGATGTTGTCCTATGGACCTTGTTGAACAACAGAATTCATTCTGTGTATTGTCCATGTAGCAAAATAAACACGGGCGATAACTCGAACTCGGTACATTTACTATGAAAAGTCCAGAGAGTTCCGAATGTCAACATGGTGTGTGAATTTGAAGCGAGAAAAAAACGTTGAGAAAATAAGTTGGATTTTCACCTTTATATGGATTATTTATTAGGGTAAAAGGCGTATACCATTTTAAAAAGGTTTGCTTTGATTAATTGGATGGTTATTTTCAATGCAACCCCTTCAAAATCATTTTGGTGTGGATTCACTCTGGTTTGCTTCATTGCAAGTATATGGTACATATTGTAAACGTGGTGAGGGCTTGTACCAAGACATAGTTAGATTATTCTAACTAAAGGTAAAAGGATTCAAAGTTGGTCAAATAATACATTAGTCCAAAGTATCTCATGTTTTCCTTGCTTTGTTATGGTTTTAATATTTTACATGCCAGGAAAGCGTCGGAATCGACGTCTGACTTGCTTAAAAACAATTAAATACACATGTACCTCAGACTTGCTCTAAACAAGTTCTGACAATGAATATCGTTTATAATATGGAGCTCAAGTGGCAGTTGAAAGGCTTACGTCCCAAATGAAATTGTTACTTCATTTTGCTCAAAGACAAACTAACAAAAAAACACACACACAAGCACTACTATATCCCCTCAAACTATTCCAAGGGGATAAAAAGAGTAAGTGAAAGTTCCACAAATGACATAGACTTTAAATGGTTCTGACAATGGAAATTACACATTATTTTTACAGACAAAGGGGACATCAAGCTTTGGTAAACGTCACAATAAAACACACACTGCCTGTCGGCGGTGTGGGAGACGGTCCTACCATATACAGAAGAAGACATGTGCATCATGTGGCTACCCAAGTCCTAAAAGGAGGCATT